ACTAAAATAAACGACTTGACGCATGAAAAAGGCTTTCATGAAACTTAAAGTGGGAAAAAATGCCCTAGTGTAATGGGGCCGAATACTTTTCCAAAGGACACTAAAAACAAGTATCAACTTCTCATGGTAATACTTTTTTTATTGGCTTTTTTACGTTGTTCATCAGATATACTGTAAATGTAGCGTATTTCCGTGTTACAAATATTTTCATTCAGGTCAACTACACAATCACCTATCGAATGGATTCAACAATTTATGTTCCGTATCACAATTATGTTCCATTAGTTGCTAGCCATGGTCCAGATACAAAATATAAACTACCTTCTCGTAACTATGCCGATGGTAAATCTAAAATGGTAGCATGGTTTGTAAGCAACTGTAATGCTGCAAGTCCGAGACAAATATATGCCAAAGAATTATCTCGTTATATTAAGGTGAGGACCCACATTATACAGACTCCTATCTCATTTCATTTATTTTCCTAAACTGGTTCCGTCCTGTAATACGTCCAATCGATAATACGGTTTTAAGTCCAATAAAAAAATGTATCCAAGTAAGTATTTTCACCAAATCCAGTTAGTGAATGTATGGGATATAAATTTGCCTCATTAGCTAAACTAAGGATCATTCAGACATACATATCACATGCATGTAAAAACGGCCATTGTGTAAAAGTTATTAATGAATTATCAAAGTAGTTATTGAAATGATGTGACACATTTGATATTTAAACGAGAGTTTAGTCTTCAAGTAGTTCAAAATAAAACAAGCTTGAGTGAGTGTGAGACTACTAAAATCTATTTGTAATATACGTTCTTATCATATCATCATGCTTTGAACCTACCATTGATGTATACGGGACACAAACTCAACACAAGTATTTTCAAATAGAGCTTCGAACCTGATTAAACATTTGTTTGCGTGTTTTGTGACTTGGTTAACACAAAGCGTATCTTAGTCGCTTTAGTTTGGATTTCTCATAACTTTCATCTACCAATGTTTCTGTTTGCTGAATCTTAAGATCAATAAATGTTACTTCGCAGTATTAGCTCTTCTCAAGTGACTATTGTGCTTCATATGAACTTTCATCGAGATATTGTTTGTAAAATTAAGGGGAACTTGTTCACTCAAACGATTGTTTTCGTAATATGATAAAAATATATCTTAACAGTGACGAAAACTAGAACTGGAATTTTTATGTCGTCTGAATTGTAATGGCAACCAACGTGTCGTTCACATGGTTAATACTGCCTTTTTAGCTTGATCACTAGCTAAATGATGACTTACTAACACTACATCAGTGTTCCTGTGTTGCTTTTGTATCTCCGATGAGAAATTTCGAGATAGTAAACTCAAACAGATGTGGATCAATCGAAGCAAATAATAACGAGGCGTTGAGGCACACAATCAGTTCAACTCTCTTCTTAAATGAATGTTTTGGATGAGATCAAAAACACGTATCTGAATTGTGATACAGTGGTCTGATGTGTTCACAAGATATAGAAGTTATTTTGAACTTTCTCAACAAAATGAATGACTGTCATTATATCGTTCTACAAACAGTGGAATATGACTGCGATACTCAAGCTTTAGTCTCGATCAATACTATACGTATTACTGTAGGTGCGACATTTCACATGCGTGCAAGGTAGTAATTTTTGACAAATATGAATGTATGCTTGAAATGTTTTAGTTATCGTTACAGATACGTGTGTCTTGTTCGGTTGATAATTACAATCACTAAAGTTTTAAATTTCGACCACACGATTCATACCAGCGGAAGCATGATAACTTATGAGAGCGAAAACATTCATGTTCACAATTACCCTCTGACTTGTGTATCTCACACACTTCTCTGCTTGTTTACAATGTGGAATACCAAGTTAACTTAGAGAGACTTTTCATTTGCATGAGAAATCAGCATTTATCTGACTAACTGCTGGTATAAATATAAATATATATATATTTGTCAGTTAATTAATCTAGCTCCTTAGTTTCAGTTGTGTTTACACAACACTGTTCGTTATTGTTGTCGACTATTTTCTCTTCACACAGTCTACCACCTGGTTACACAGTATTTTTGTACATTGCTACTTTCGTAAATGCTAGTTTTTTAATGATTCAGAAACCAACTGTCACTTTTCCAAATAATATCATAGGTTGATATTTATGGTGCATGTGGCAGTATGAGTTGCCCTAGGAAATCCGAACCTCAATGTTTTACTCTACTTGAAAAAGAGTATAAATTCTACTTGAGTTTTGAAAATAGTTTATGTCCTGATTATATTACAGAGAAGATTTTCAGAAATGCATTCAAGTAAGTAAACATATCAAGTTGTTGAAATTGTTGCCAATTGTTTTCTTCCTGTTCACTATCGTTCAGTTGAGAGCTAGACTGTTTTCTTTCTATATCTCTGACATAGTATTCGACTCACACAGTATATCGTCTGCCATTTTTCCACTACCTCTCAAATAACCATACTGAATTGCTATAACGATATACACCTTGGATAAATGTATTTTAGAGAATGTTGGATTGATTCGGCAGATGTGTGAACTACCATAGTTATTCAACGACAGTAGTGGAGCCCAGTCAGTTTAACTAAGGCAAATTATGAATTTTGTCAACTATAGAACGTTATGTATATATAAATATAAATATAGTCCTCATAAAATAGATTTCGGTGCTCAAGATTAATCATCTGTGATTAGTAATTGATCATCTCTCACTTTATTTATAAATTTCATTACCTCACTAATGGATTCTCTTTTTATATTTGGTTGGTTTAATTTGCTCAGACATGATGTAATTCCAGTGGTGATGGGTGCATCAATCGAAGAATACAAGCGTGTTGCTCCTCCTCATTCGTTTATTCATGTTGATCAATTTAAATCGCCGGCAGAACTTGCCAATTATTTGAAGTATTTGGACAGAAATAAGACCGCATATAATGAATACTTCGCATGGCGTGATCATGGAACTATAGATGCTTGGTCATCAAAGCCCCAGTGCGTTATATGCTTATTAGCCTACACTGCACATAAACTGAAACCATATACATTCCCAAACGTTTCGCGATGGTGGAACGATGGTTGTGTTGGCCGGAAACTACTTTGGCATTAGTTCTTTAGAAGATTTTTACATCAACGACTGGAAATCAGTTTTAATAATATTTAATTATATTTATATTGTAGACCCCCCACATATATTCCAGTTCGCTTACATCTTACTTGGTTAAGCCCTTTCGATTAATTTATTTAACCAAGCCATTTGTATAGCAACAACTCATATGTACCATTGGTATTTTTTATTATCTGGTTTGTATGATCCTGTACGACTGAGCATTGCTTACGCCTAGGGGCTTACTCATCCTTTTCGCTTTAATGTTAGTCTCTTAATATCCCCATGAACTCACATGATTTGTATCGCTTCCTTTTGACCTTGTCAATCATTCGTCGCTTTTATTCATGTGTGTGCACGCCTATTTCGCTTGTCATATGTCTGCCTTATTTTTGTCTGACTATATATTCTTAGTCATGCTCTATCTCATGGAGTTGGCTCTTAGCCTTCTCCAATTCGCTTCGCCCATTCTTTTGCATTGTAACCCATAGAGTTGGCTCTTTGCCTTCTCCCACGCGCTTCGCCTATCCATTCGCTTCCTTCGTTTTATTCACTGCTTCTCCGCTTCGCTTTGTGGTGTGTTCCAAATAAACATATTCATCAATACGAGTTCATGCTCTAATTTATAAACCGAGCTTAAGAACACGCAGTAATTTGGCACACCACGAAAATATCACAGGTAGCTATGGTTTTGACTGTGTATGACCTAAACTGATTACAATTTTATCAGTTTGCGATTCTCATCAGAAATTTCCTAAAAACTGTTTGTGGCAATAGATTGGGCAGAGTAGCCTGAGTTCGTTCATATCTCCAGTCGACTGTCACTAAAACAGAAATTTATAACTAACAACATAATCCATTTAACAATACTTGATAATACATTAATTAACTGAAGCTCATTTCATTCATAAAACTATCCATCAATGTACTTCAAATATATGCTTTTCGTAAAACGAATTATCTATTCAAATATGTTTTAGAAATACAAAATGTAGGTTCGAGACAAAGTTCATTATTTGTTCTTAAACTCGACAATCTAAATCTTATAAGGTTATTCAGGTTGACAGTAAGAAAAAACTGGAAGGACTATCTCTTATTCATTGTAGCAACCTGCTCTTTGTATGAAGAACATCAGTCCATTATTATACTGACAAATAGGTCTAGGTAACAAATAATACATCATTGGATTATAAATTACAAAGGAGAAATCGCAATATGCAACTTACCTGGCATTTGAACCTCTGTTTAGTATTGATAAAGCACTTTACGCGTCCAGAATTGTTTGAATTCCGAATTCGCATTATTAACTGGTGTCTTGGCAACAAGATACAACCACTGAATCCTATTCGATTTTGGCCGATACCAACTCGCGTAGCTTACCACCTCTGCTGTATACTTGCTGTTTTGTCAATGACCAACTGTTGTGCTAATATTCAAAGCGGGATGAGCTATCCACTACTCCTGATGGTATTTTGTGTTTACATGATCGGGTTGTTATTCCTCCTTCATCGCGTAAAGCTGTCCTGGAAGATCTTCATAGTGGACATTCAGGTGTTGAGAAAATGAAGTCCTTGGCGAGGCTCACGTGTTGGTGGCCAGAGATAAATGCAGATATTTGTTGTACTGCAAAGAATTGCGAAAAGTGTCATAAGCTGAAAAATCAGCATTCGAAGTGGATCGATTGTATTGCCGCCTCAACATTTAATGAGTTGGAGAGGGGAGTAGATACCTTTCTACTGCAATATAGAAATGCCAGACATTCGGTGACGAAAGAGACTTCATCAAAACTATTAAAAGGAAGAATTCTTCGGTCGGATATGAGATGTTTGGAGTCTGCAGAAGTTACGTATTATCGTGGCAATGATCTTTGACCATCCACGGGGATCGTTCTGAAGAATGTCGGGAAATCTATGGTGCGACTTCTAGATATCAATGACTTAAGTACACACAATCGACATGTTGATCAAATACAATTTCAAGAACCAGGTGAGTCTGTTCCAATTTCGGTTGTTAATTCTAATACTAATGAGAGCATTCTAGATAATACAGAGCCTTTATCCAATACACTGTCGAACAGACACAGGATGAATTTGAGAAGAAGACGTACAATTGATTACAGACAAATACATTCCAATTTAAGCTGTGGCGGATGTGGTGTTTGCAGTAACTAGTGACTTCTTGTTATTGTGGAATGCTTGATTTCGAATTCTAAATACAATACATTCGTTTGTGCATATCTTTAGTTCTTGATTCACATACTTCTAATTATCACAAAAACACGTCCGAGAGGGCTTCCCGAAGCCACTCCATCGATTTGCGTATATGTATTACCTTGGAAATAGAATTTTATAATCTTTGTGCAGAGCAAAATTAGATCTCGAAGATAGGTGGTCCGAATGAGTATTCTTATGTTGTGTGAAGTTATGAAGTCACACATAAATTCCACAGTTTCTTCGAGAGGTACATTTGTGAACAAAGAGTTTACATCGAAGTTGTGACATGTCATCAAAACCCACACACACTAAAACTACTCGAAGCTATCTTGATTGGTCTGAAAAGTCCAACTTTATGTGTTCAAAAACAACTGTATGTTGATCTTTGTTTACCATGGTTCTAGCGAGTGAATGTCATGCTAAATAAGACATTTTGACCTTATCTTCAAAACTGTATTTACACAAATAACATGTAGCTTGTATGTGACTGACGAGAAAGCACGAAATGGTACTATGTCACAAAATATGTCTTCTCATTTCTCTGTTCAAATGGCAGCAAATCAACAAGTGCTAAACCGGAAAACACACCTCTGTTCATCACTACACCTGCACAATTTGACCTGGTTATCGAAACGAACCTTTCCGATGAACAGATTTCATGTCGCGAATCGGAAATGCGATGAACCGGCGAAAAGATTTCATTCATTCCAACCCAGTGGCCGACGAACACAGGAAGCTTATTTCAACAAATCCATAGTGAGCAATGACTAGAGAAACCTATGCAGAATGTAGGTGAAATGTAAAGACAAACAACCGCCTGAACAACCTAGTCGACTTCACTTTTCATCAGCAGATTACTACTTACTTATGATTGCCATTACTTATGATTACACTGACACATTTAGTGCAAACGAAATAACTGATGATTTTACAATTAACACCAGTAATACTGCAGTGACGAGTTCCAGACTCAGAAGAACAAGCATCATTTATCGAGACATTCGTTCTGTTGATGGAGTGGTGTAGATTATTGTTCACTGGATGGTGAAACACAAACTCCGGTTATTGCTGAAATGTTCGGTGCTTCCCTACTGACTTACACGTTACATCACGAGTCGTACGATACAAAGTCGCTTTTCACTTCCACATGTTTCCCTGTGATATGACTCCTGATATTCTTGCCATATTCAGACCAGTTAGTGATGTGATCAGCTTTCAGTGTTCATTCTAATAGGTTGAATCAGATCAAATGAAATATTGATCAATTTTGCATGGCATGACCTTTGTTTTTCATGCAAACTACGCGTGTTCACTTACTGTTCATATACATCACTCAGAATTTTGATTCTAATTAATTTGAACAGAGAAATGAGAAGACATATTTTGTGACATAGTACCATTTCGTGCTTTCTCGTCAGTCACATACAAGCTACATGTTATTTGTGTAAATACAGTTTTGAAGATAAGGTCAAAATGTCTTATTTAGCATGACATTCACTCGCTAGAACCATGGTAAACAAAGATCAACATACAGTTGTTTTTGAACACATAAAGTTGGACTTTTCAGACCAATCAAGATAGCTTCGAGTAGTTTTAGTGTGTGTGGGTTTTGATGACATGCCACAACTCTAAAGGCTGTTTTGGGTCAATTTGATGACCACTCATCACTAGATGTTTTGTAATGGACGAGGCTGGTTTTCTTGATCGATTTTGTGATGACGGGCTAGGTTGATGAATCATGGATTTGACTAACCACTTTGGAATATGTTCCCCTATCCTGTCTTCCAATCGGCGATCTGTCCTCCCTAAGTAACTTTCTCCGCAGTTACATGTGAATTGGTAATTACAGTGGGATTTGGACTGAATCGGTCTTGGAGACTTGATTGGGGTAACTGAGATCGATTGAGTTGTTGGGATAAGCCTCAGATTAGCTGCATTGAAGGTCTTTTTTATTGCAGCTGCAGTCTGTTTGGTTGTAATTTCCATGCAATGATCACCCTTGAAAGGTAACTGTAGGTACACTGGTTTCTTGGGTACATCAGTTGCTATCAGATTCGTCGTAGTTGTGTTCTGATGACCAATAAACGTTTCGGGATATCCGTTTGATTTAAGTATCTCAGTAATAAGCTTGAATTCGTCGTTCAGTGTATCAGCAGTGCAGATTCTACTTGCTCGAGCGAATAAATTTTTGACAACAGAACGTTTATATTATATGGGGCAGAAACTAGTGAAGTGGAGGTACTGTCCCGACCAGGTGAGTTTGCGGTGTACTTTTCGTTTGATTGATCCGTCTGGACGGCGATTGAGCAGGATATCGAGGAAAGCTAGTTCATTATTCTTTTCCTCCTCATAAGTGAATTTCAGATTGGGGTGAATCGCATTAAATAAATCATTGACTTCATTATTAAATGTAGAATGTGGTAATATGACAAGAATGTCGTCGACATATCGTTTGTAAAGTGTAATACCATCGATGAAGTGACTCACTTGCCTTTCTATCATTCCCATGAATATGTTTGCTAAAACTGTGGTGTTTGAATTAACCAGTGACTTCTTGTTGTTGTGGAATGCTTGATTTCGAATTCTAAATACAATACATTCGTTTGTGCATATCTTTAGTTCTTGATTCACATACTTCTAATTATCACACTGGCGTCGCGATGGAACTTGTAATGGAACAGTTAGATATTCATTCTACTTCTGAAGCTTTTGAAGATTCTTTGGAAAGGTTTGAAATCTGGAGTATGACCAGGAAAGATGTCAAAGATGATAAAATTGTGGCTCATTTC